GGAAGGGAAGAGGAGAAGAGAAGAGAAAGAAGAGAAGAGAAGAGAAGAGAAGAGAAGAGAAAAATCTCTATACACATGGAAGTTACACGACATTTAAATAATCTATGGGTCAATCAAGGAGGAGCCCTGCATAATCATGACTATAGAGGAAAAAGTAAACAGGCTATTTCTGGACACTGGTGCTAGTCTCTCAGTCCTTCTTTTCATCCTGGCCTTCCTTCCAGCCATCACACCTCAGTGGAAGGAGTCACTGATGAGGAGGTTATCCACTATTTTTCACAACCCTTAGGCTGTAACTACTTGTTAGATCTTTCTTGCATATCTTTGTTTTCCTGAGAAAGCACTTTGAAGATACCACCATGTATTACAGCAGCCATTGACAATTTCCTACCAATCTGTCCATAACTCTGTAATGTTTCTATTGTTCCTATGCTATTTCATAAATGGATATATGTTTTTTACTATGTGTTTTCAACAACAACCATTGAGAATAGTCAATGATTATTTAATTGCTCACTCATATATAGCTCTATTTCTTTTCCCTAGAAACCACTTTGAAGAAACCAAAGTATAGTACAACAACCATTGATAATTTCCTACCATTTTTGTCTGTAACTCACTATTATTTGTCTATTTGTTTTCCTGAGAAACTATCTTGAAGATACCAATAGGTAAAATAACAGCCATTGATAATGTCCTACCACTTTGCCTGTAATTTGGTAAATCCCCCTATTACTATGGTATCCTTTTTTTACTCTTTTAAATAAACAAGAAAAAATAAATAATCTATGGGTCAAAAAGGAAGTCTCAAAGTGAATGTTAAAAAATACATAAAACTTTGAAAATGAAAATACAAATATTGAAATACATAACATGCAGTTAAGGCTGTACTGAGAAATTTACATTAAGTGCTTACATTAAAAATGAAGAGAGGTCTCCAGTCAATAATCTAAGTTTCTACATCAAGGAATTAGAAAAGGAAAACCAAAATAAACCCAGAGCAAACAGAAGGGGAGAGCTAATTAGGTGCTGGAATCAGTGGAATTGAAATAGGAAAACTATCAAAAGAATCAATGAAATAAAAATCCTATTTAAAAAAAAATCAATAAAATTGATTAACATATAGCAAAACTGGTAAAAATAGACCTAGCACACAGATCACCAATTCAGAGATGAAATATGGGATACCACTGCAATCTTATGATCATTAAAAATACAATACAAGGGAATACAGCCCGGCATGGTGGCACACATCTGTAATCCCAGCACTGTGGGAGGCTGAGGCAGGATGATCACAAGTTCAAGCTCAGTCTGGGCAATTTAGCAACTTAGTGAGACCCTGTCTCAAAATAAAAGATGAAAAAAGCGGTAGATATGTAGCTAAGCGCAAAGGCTCTGGTTTTAATTCCCAGTTCTATAAAATTTAAAAATAAATAAAAGGAAGGAGAAGGGAAATATTATGAACAATGTTACATTCCTTTGAAAAGTTGGGAGAAATGGACTAATTTGTCAACAAGCAACAAGCGGTAAAACTCATCCAGCAAGAAATAGATGTTTTAAATATCCCTATAGCCATAAAAGAATTTGAATGCATAATTTTAAAAGCCCCTGCAAAGGAAATCTTCAGACTTAGGTATTTTCTATGCACAATTCTACAAACATTAACATCAATTTTACACATTTTCTTCCAAAAAAATAGAAGAGAACACTTCTAACTCATTTTATGAGGCCAACATTACTGACACTAAAACCAGACAAAAATTATCCAAAATTAGAAAATTGTAGACCAATATGTCTCATGAGCTTCAGTTTAAAAAGGAAACAATTTATTAGCAAATTTTATTAAACAATGTGAAAAGAAGTAAACATCAGTGCCAAATAGGCTTTTACTTCAAATATACAAGTTATTCAATGCAGCTCACCATATAAACAGGCTAAAGAAAAAACATGACCATATTAAGTACAGAAGAAAAAAAAACATTTGACAAAGTTCCATATTCATTCATGATAAAAACTCTCAGCAAATTAGGAATAAATGCTTATGTTAACTTCTTAGCTATACTTTAACAAATTGCCAAAACTAGGTAGTTTAAAACAAGAGAAATTTATTATCCCACAGTTGTAGAGGCCAAAAGTCCTAAATCAATTTGTTATCAGCATTGGTTACTTCTCAAGGCTCTGAAGGAAAAATGCATGCTATGATTCTCTCCTACGTGGCTGCTGCCAATTTTTGCCATTCCACGGCTTGTACATGCATATTCCAATCTCTGCTTCCATCGTCACATGGCCTTTTCCTCTATCTGTCTATGCATCAAATCTTCCTCTCCCATTTCTTGTAAGGACAACAGTAAGGCCCACCCTAAATCTATGATAATCTTATTTTAGGATCCTTAATTATATCCACAAAGACGCTATGTCCAAATAAGGTCAAGCTTACAGGTACTGGGGGTTCTTAGATGTATCTTTGGAGAGACAGAGTTCAATCCACTACAGAGGAGAATTACTTCAAGTTGATAACAAATGTCTGCAAGCTTCCCACAGCTAACATGGCAGTGTGCTTTGTAATGAAATACTGAATCCCCTTTTAAGATTGGGAACATGGCAAAAGTGTTCACTTTTGTTCATATTATTCAATATAGTGGTAGAAGTTATGGCTACTGCAATTAAGCAATGAAAAGAAATTTAAAATATACATATTGGAAGGGAGGAAATCACCAGGGATATAGCTCAGCAGCACAGCACCTTGTGCTTGCCAAGCAATAAAAACCTGCTGATACAACTTGAGTGGATTTTCAAGTAATTATGCTGGGTGAACAGAGCCAATGCCAAAAGTTTACTAGGATTCTATTTACATAAAATTTGTGAAATGACAGAATTGCAGACAGAGAAAACAGATTTGTGGTGGTCAACGGTTAGGAGCAAGGATGGAGTATGGGAGAAAGGTGGGCATGATTATGAAAGGAGAACACGGATATTTGCAGTGATGGAACTGTTCAATATCTTGACTGTGGGATTAGATACACAAATCTACATGTGTGATAAAACTGAATAGAGCTAAATACACATATACATATTGTCTTAGTTACTTTTCTTGTAGCTAAGACATAACACCTGACACCCACTACTCTAAGAAAGAAAGACTTATTTTTGGCTCATAGTCACAGAGGTTTCAGTTTATAGTCAGTTGGCTCCAAGACAGCACAGTTCTGGACGGTGAGGTGGTCAGTGGCTCTTTTCAGGTTCTTGCTGTCTTGTTCAAAGAACTGGACAATGACACTAATGGACATAAAATTTCAACGCTTATTTAAGGTAAAGAAATAAGAAAAAGAAGTTAAAAAGGAGTACAGAAAGGAATACTCAAAAGGAGGAAATGCTCTGAAGAGAAAATACAAGGCAAGCCACTATAAAACCAAGAGGGCTGTGGCAATGAAGCCAATGGCCACAGGCTTTTGTATCTTCTTCTGATGTCAGATTTGGGTTGTCTCACACAGGACTCTGAAGCTGTTCTGCACAGTATCCTGAACGTGATTTGAAAGCTCAGCCATGATTGACAGGTCACGCTTGATTTTCCAGCTGGCTTGCCATGTCCTAATCTCCTGCCTCAGTATGGCAGGGGGCATGGCAAGGATAAATAGCTCATGGCATTGTGGTAGGAAGCAGAAAATAATGAAGGAAGAAGGAGGGCAATAGACCCTGTCAGGCCACACCTCCAGTAACTCACTTCCTCCAACTAGTCTTTAGCTCCCAATATCACGTTTAGCTATGACTTGGTCAAAGGACTAATCCACTGATGACTATCATGCGCCCATGACCAAATCACCTCCCAAAATCCCCATCTATGAGTGCATGAGGCTTTGGGGGGACATCTAGACACAAACAGTAACACATATTCCTACAGATACAGTAGGAGAAACATAAGTAAAATCAGCGGGCTGTATCAATGTCAGTATCTTGGTTGTGATATACTATCATTTCACAAAATGTTACTATTGAGGGGAATTGGGTATAATGCACACGAGATCTTATTGTTATTTCTTAGAACTTCGTGTGACTCTGTAATTATTTCAATAAAGGTTTTGATTAAAAATTATTGAGAGAAGGGTGGGAGTGTATGTAGCTCAGTAGCAGAGCTCTTACCTAACGTGTGTGAGGTCCTAGATTCAATTCCTAGCGTTGCAAAAAAAATTATTGATGATCTCAGAAAGGTTTCTTTATGTGAATTATTTGTCTATAATTAATGCATTAGAAATTGTAACTTAAAAAAAGAAAGAAACATGTAGAAGCACACATTCCATTAGCTGCCAAGGCAAAGATTTTAACTACCTGTCACGCTGATTTTGGAAAACTCTACTACATATTCATGAGCGGATGAACATGAAACAGAAAAAAAATCTTAGTATTATTATTTTGATTTTGATTTTACAGTTTCTCCTGCCTCCAAATGGTTTTAGAAATAGGATGACTAAGTCATCTAAATTTACCTATGTTTTACCTAGATTTTAGCCGTGAAAGCCCTAGAGAAACCAGTATGTTTTGTCCAAGGCTTACTTGGTTTTAAAACTAAATGTCTTATATTCTAAGAACCCTCTTGATCCTGGGCAAACGGGGATGATTTTCTCCAAACTCACGGACTATTGTGGATGCCTGAACAGGACTTTAACAACCTCTGTGTAAGGCAACCCTTACACAGAAGGAATCCCAACTCAGTTCTATTATCTCATCATCGCATAAAATGTGAAGGTTTGAGTATCGTCACATTTCAGCTTGTTAAATTTCCTCTCCCTAACCCCATTTCTTGTTTAGTTTTTCTGTGTTGGTTTATTCTACCTTCACCTCCACACTTTGGATTCACTAAACTAAGATATCTTTGAAAGTGTTTTGTGACCAAACCAAAAAAAAGAACAAACAAAAAACAAAACAAACAAACAAACAAAAAACCAAAAAGACTGTCAACAGAATGTAAGCGTGTACTATTGTTTTTCTGATTATTATTTTTTCAGGTCAAGTTAGTGTGGTGCAAGTGACCATCCCAGACAGTTTTGTGAATGTGACTGTTGGATCTAATGTCACTCTCATCTGTATCTACACCACCACTGTGGCCTCCTGGGACAACCTTTCCATCCAGTGGTCTGTCCTCCACAAACAGGAGGTGGAGCCAACTTCTGTAAGGATTCTCTTCTTAAACTCTTCCCCTTTGGTAGCTCTGACAGATAATTGTTGGGGTAAGTGTATGAAGGAATGGTATACCAGTGCCGACAGTGACAAAGCCTGAGATATGAAGAGTTTGAAAATAGATGTTTAGGGAAGACCATCATCTAGGTGACTGGGCCTTTGTGTTCTCTTCATATTTATTTATATTGTTATTTCAATTTTGTATAGGTGAACATTATGAGTATCATGCATTCTAGAAGAGATAGAAGTAGTACTTCTCATATATGAAATGAACAGTAGTTTTGAAAGTGCTTTCTCCCCATATATCTCCCTATTATTTCCAAAAGATTCTGGTTCAAATACAAGTTCTCATAGATCAGCAGCTCTCTGCCTAACTTAATATCTCACATCTGCCTGTCAAGTGAGCTAGCTCAGTGTACCAGACTGAGTCCTTACAGAAGGAGAATTTATCAGATGGGTAGAGAGGAGCCATGGTAGTGATGAATCCTGGGTAACCAACAGTAGCATGAGGCTAGAAGGTAGAAGGTGGGGTGGGTAGGTATAGGGTCTGAGAGAAGAGGATGCCACAGAAGGGTGGCACCTGGGGATAATGATCCATAGACAAGCTGGCCCTTCACAGATTTTCTTTATCTGGCTTTGGCCTTGAAGATAATTCCTTCTTTAAATTAGCCCAAGGATTAAAACTGCATACTTAGTTCTGTGTGTGTGTGTGTATGCAAATGTGTATGTTAGCATGTATACCCTGCATGCCTACACATATCCCTTTTGGAAAAAAGGGAAGCCTTTCATCAGATTCTCAAAAAGATGCGTGACTCAAAATGCAGTTTAAAGAAGAGTCCGCTCCATGTGGTTTGGAATAGTTGGATGCCATTGAGTTGGGCCTTAAAGGTAAGGAAGAGTTTGGTTGGTAGAAAGACAGAGGGAGGGCAAATTGTGGGCTGGGGGAGGCCTAAGGGCAGAGATGGGAATGAGGAGGGCAGTAGCTTAGCAGAATCATACCTTGGCCAGTGTTGCTTCAGCCATCACTGGCCATTTTAGGGTACTGAGTTCTCTCCTTACCAGAGATCCTGAGCATTTGCTTAGAAGGAAATATTGCTCAGGGGGGGATCCTATCAATGCAACCCACTAACTAAAGTTAAACAATTTTGGTCAGTACTCATTACCTTGGAAAAACATTTGAATCACTCAATGCCTCTCTTTAAAAATATAGTGGGACAACAGTACTCATGAGGAGTCAACTGAATAAATGTGACAATACTTGAAAAAAATAAAGTCCCATACGTTTTATCCCCTGTAAACACCATTATGATTCAGCAGCAACAGGAATGCCAACACCAATAACAACAGCAATTCTACCAGTTTCCATCACCCAAAATGTCCTGACCCAAGGCTTTGCATGTTGAAATCAACAAAGAAATTATCACTTTCCTTTTTAGGTTGCTCTTCGAATGTAAATGACAAAAATCACGTGATCTCTCATCCTTTTCTAAGTCCAAGTTCCTGATGATTTTTCCAGTAGGGGCTTGACAGGCCTTGCTAATACATTATGAAGTGGTTTATGTTTGATACTCAAATCAAAATGTTCAACTATCTTGAAGCCAGGCAAACCCAGTCCGAATTCAAGAGCACAAGTTCTCCTGTATGTCTCTCTTTTTTTTTTTTTTCCGGTACCAGGAATTGAACTCACGACTTCACACTTGCCAGGCAGGTGCTGTGCTGCTGAGCTAATCCCCAGCCCTGTATGTCTCTTCTGACACTAGAATTTACAGGGTCACCGCTTGGTTGAACTGTGTGGCTAGTAAGAAGCTGGGAGGGAGTGGCAGGGCTGAAGGATCTTCTCACCAGCTTTTTCTAGGTCTGCAAATGGAGGGAGAAGAAGGTATAGATGATTGAATCGAGTGTGGCTTCAGGTCATAACATCTCTTTAAAAACACTATAAAGAAAAATGTTAATGGCAGTCGTTTATTTACTTGCCATTTAGCTCCTTCTCCAGAATGCCAGGTGCAGGTGGGGGCAAGTAATTTCAGATATTTTCTCTTTTGGGATGGCAAGACCAAGTGAGGTCCTCTGCACTGAGCCGCTAGATTAGGGAGAACCTACTCCCTCATCTTACAGCTGCGTGAGACCTGTGCAATGCCTGGACCTTAGCCAAAGGGAAAGCAAGGTAGAGTAGAGCCATCTCTTGGTTTGAGAACAATGAACTCACCCAAAGACAAATTTTCTCCTCCTCCTATTTTCCTCTCTTGCTTCAGGTTGCCCTAGCCAGATCCTCATTACAACCTTCTTTAGGTCTCTACTTCTAGAGAACTGGAATCCTGCCTTTCTCTCCCCATATACGCCCTGCAAGCATGTGCTTCTCTTTGCTTTCCCAGAGGAGTAATTTTGGAGTTCCAGTGGAAAGCTCCTGATACAGTACAGTCCTACTCCTTGCTGTGCCATGTACTTAGTGGCTGAACGACCTTAGACAAGTAACTTGATCTGTCAAAGATTCAGTTTTCCCATCTGTGAAACTGGGGCTACTTACCTACCTCGTAGCTTTGATGAGAGAATTTGATGAGACAGCGCTTGTAAAGCACTGGGTAGCCTTCCACCGTGCAGGCACTCAGTGAATATGAACTACTATTATTAGGATCACCACTCATTAAATAGTTTGGCAAAACCTTAATCCCACACATGCTCCCTAGGATACCAGAGAAACTGACAAATGGGCACGAGGAAATCCAGCCCAACATGTTGTACCTAGTATAACGGAAGAGCTGGGACACCCTGGCCCAAGACTGGCTCCTAATTCCACTGCCTACCAGGACCCTACAGCTAGAGGGAGAGACCAGGCTCCTTCTCTGCTGCATCTAGTCCTTAAACAGAGAGTGTTCAGCCTTGGGGCTGCCAACATCCTGGGTTTTCATACTGGTAATTGGCTTCCATTGTAAGTCCTTTTTCTCTTTGAGCACTTCTATGGGTTTAGAATTCTGTACAGCACATTGTGTGTTAATGTACGTATTGCTGGCGGGACATTTTGGGGATGCTGAAAAGAAACTACTATGTTTTAGACAGTTCCATGCTAAGGAGTAAGATGTTGCCAGACTGATCAATCAGTGATTCAATTCAGCTCCTGGGTTGGTGCGCCGTCATACCATGTAGCATTCGGCTCTCAGATCCACCCATTTCTGCTCAAACACAGCACAGCCCGTGCCTCAATACTGAGGGTATGGCCGAAAAGACAGTCAGTGGGTGTCTAAAAATGACGCATGCAAGAGACGCTCGGGGAAGATGTAGCTGGACCTCTCAGGTAAGAACACCTGTTGGTGTACTCTAGACCCCTTCACTGTTAGGCGTCTCTAGGGGACTGACACCAGCTTTAGGAGTGGGATAGGAGGATATGAATTTGGTAACACTTGAGATCAGCACAAGCCCTTGACAAAAATGATAATATCCTGAGTTTACGTTCTCATATTGATGTGTGGAACTCTTTTCAGCCTCCTCCAAAAGGTTTAGGGCTCTGTTGCTGCCCTGACTAGGGCAGCTCTTGCCATATGCCCACCTTCTCCTCCCAAATCATTGTGTTAAAAGTAGCAACTGCCCTGGTGTTTCTCAGTACGTAGGAATGGGTGCTACGTCTTACTGTGTCCTACAAGAGGTTGCTTGGGTGAAATGGAGACTGTAGAAGTGTCCTACAAGTTTTCTAACCTGGAGGCAAGGACATTCATTAGCATGGTCCTCCTCTCAGAGAAGCATTCCCCCTCAAAAAACATGGACAGCTTCAGATAGTCCTTCAGCAGTTAATCTCATCTGAAAATTCTAGGGCTCGTATAGGCAGTCAACATGGAAGTTTGGGTGGTCATACAGACGACCTCTTCTTCCACTCAGTCTATTAGAGTAAAACTACAGAGACCTCACTTGCCCACGAGTAGACACACGTTGATCCCGCTTCATATGGTTTCTTAGGCAACAGTCCTCTAGAATATAGTAGAAGAAACCCTTTGCCACTCTCACATCCCCACATACATTTATAATTTGGAAAACTTCTTTCCAGGACATACAGTCCTTGTGGTCTCGGGTTTCTCAGATTTTCCAGCATGGCCTGTCCTCTACAGGTAGCATATTAAATTCTTTTCAAATGCTGATGTGTTTTTATGTGGAGAAATGTTTCATCAGTTCAGGGCATTTGAGAATGAAGAAGGTGTTGATTTGATTGCTAGGATGGGGAGTCACTACTGGCATTTAGTGGGTGCTGGCTAGAGATGCTAACTGCCCTCAACACATAGGATGAACCCATACAACAAATTGTCTGCCCCAAATGCTATTGTCACCCTTATTGAGAAACATTACAAATCTTCCCTTCATCCCCATTCAAGTTTATATATTCTGGGTTCCATTCCCCAGGTCTCCATATTTGCTAACACTGATCAGTTAATCTAGTGCTGAGGTGTCAGGAAGCGAGGACACTTTACACTGTTCTCCTCTAAAGAAATGCACTTAATCCGGGATCTTCCATAATCTTACTCCAAAGTATCACGAAGTAGTGACTCAAACGGTGGAAATCTCAGGTAAATAGCAGACTGGTAAAAAAGTGGTTCAGGGACAGGATAGCCTTTCTCTTCATATTCTATTCAGTGTGCAAGAACATTTGCAATACCAGCTCCCACAGTACAGAGCAAAGAAAATGCTGAGCTTGAAGTCTTTGCCACCTACCCCCTTGGCTGTTCCCCCTTTAAGCGGTATGGGAAAGTAAGAAGCTGGGAGGGAAAGAATGGGAGCTTTGCGGTGGACTTCCATGCCTTCCCCATCTCCTAAAGGGATCTGCAAAACCAGCTCTGGAAAGTAAGAACGTTTAGCAACTCCAAATCTGACCGGAATACAAAGCAGATGAGATTCTTGCAACACTTATTGTTTATACCAAGTGTCTAGTTTGAGAGCAGTGGCACAAAACTGAGAAAACAAACTTTGAGGACAAGTCTGGCTCCCAGCTGCATAGCCTTTTGTGTCTAGGAACTTGGCATAGTGGCAAGGGAAAGGCTGCTCTTTAAGGAACCCAGGAGCCTGCAGTGGGGCTTGCAAATGTCCAGAGCAAATGGTGAAACTTCTCAGCATCGGAAGTACCAGGCCCGTCGACAACAGCAGCAGGCAGGAAAAGGGTCAGACTGGAGTGGGGGAGGGAATGCCCCCAAAGAGGTGCCTGAGAAGGGTCTTCCTTGCCTCAGGCAGGACTCAGAGTGGTCTCTCAGTGTAGTCAGTGGGAGTCAGGAAGTGTAGATTCCAGGCCTGTAAATTCATTGTGTGGGTATGAAATTGACAAGCATAACTTAAGGGAACACTCGGGTGTGTTTTCTTCAGGCAAGACTTCCCTTACCTCCACGAAGGATGCAGCTTGTTGAATATCTGAAGCTTTTCCTGGACCTCAATTGCTTTGATCTCTAAGTTGATAATATTCTTTCTTTGAAAAGTATGTAAGTCACAAGGGATCATGGGCTGGGCCTTGGCCACTGCCCACCATTGATTTTTCAAAGAATTACTTTTTTGTGGAAAATGGAACCAAGTTGCATTCCTTCTTGTGTGGTTAAATACACAGTTTTGGGAAAATACTTCTTTTTTCTTTACAAGGACAGTGTGACAGAATGGACTTCCCCTAACAGAAAATGTTTCCATCTCTGTGTCTGACTGCTGCGCGGCCCTGGGGACTTTCCTTTCCACACAGCATCCTGAGGCCAAGGTCTTTCCCTTTTAAGTCACCAAAGTTTTCCCTCCTTACTCCCATTCCTATCCTTTAGTGTCATTCATGAGAGGGAAAAATCCATCAGACTGCAGTGTGAGGAGCTAGGGTGAAAGGGGGTGGTGAAGGCCCTTTGCATAGGGAGTTACAGGTCCAGAGCCTCACTGCTTATTTGCTAATTTCACCTTGATTCACATGAAACTAAGAAGTTCTTATAGTGGTTTCTTTTCATGTGCTAGTGCTGGCCTAAAACACACCCTTGGCCCACTGATCTAGGCAAGAACAAGGTCCTTTTCAACTCAGTACTCTGGGATTTACTGTGAGGCTCAGGTAGGCCTGACATTTTATCTCACTGTGATGTCATAAAGCACTACTCTATATAACAGGGCTCACCGGCCCCCAGTTTTCTTGGGAGCTGAGGAGATGGCCAGGTTATAAGGGGCTTTCTTGACCAACAGCAGGCTACACTAGGTAAGTAACTATAGAACTTGAAGTTTTTAATTAGAAAGTAAACAAGCTTTGTGTTGACTACTCAGATGAATGCCAAAGACCTTGAAGGAGTTGAATTTCTTCCTGTCTCACCTGAGTACTTTGAATTCATACTGGTTTTCTGATTTGTAAGTCAAACAAAATCACTTTGGGCAAAAGTGTGTGATTTCAGTGGGTATGAATGAATTATAATTATTTTTGCCACATTTAAGGCAGGAAAGAAAGTATGTTGATGTTAGAAAAGCCAGAGGAGCATTGTTTCCTCCTTAAATATGCTTGTTTCTTTGAATTTTTCCTTCAAAATCTACTTTTCTGTCTTTGTCCTAAACTATGTTGATTTTGTGACTAAAGGAGAAGGCATTTGAATTAATCTAGACAATATGTTTTTGTTTTCTGATTTCTTTCTTTTATTGATCACGGAATTAGGTGAACTGGATTCTAGTCTGGCCTAAACTGTTCATTTTGTGTCTAGATATATTTTAACCTCTCTGAGTCTCTTCTAAAAGTGAGAAGAGGGAATTAAATGAACTGTAAGACCATTTTAGCCAATTTTATGAAAATGATTAGTCTTACTGGACTAAGGCAATGCCAGTTCATTGAAAAAATAAACAACAAGCACTGAGTGACAGACATTTATATGAAACTAACAAAGTGTTTCTTTCTAACACCTTAAAATTACTAGGTTTTCATTTTGGTACCACCTAAAATCAATTTAAATGTCTGTATTGTGGGAATACACAGCATACATTGTAAAACATTACTCTGGTTCCTCATTCAGATATGGCAACTAAAGGTTAGAGAGATTACATAACTTTGTTTCTTATCACAGAGGAGGTTGCCATGGAGGCATGACTAGAGGCCACACCTCTTGACTATGTCACAGTCAGAGGCAGAGCTGTGGCCACATGCCCAGCCATCTGACTCCTAGACCAAGTCTGCTTCTCCCAGGGCAGGCTGTGCCTGCGCATAGAACCCATCATGATAGCAGTGTCCATGTTCTCTAATGGAAGGACTAGAATACAGCTCTGTCTTAAGTCTACTAAGTTATAGTAATAATAAATGAATCCCGAGGCTGCAGATGAGTCATTTAATCTCTCTAGGTCTGAGTTCACTTATTTGACATTTGGAAAAAGATGGTAGCTATGACTGAGTAAGCACTTCCTAGGCCTTTTATTAGCTCATATTTTTTCATACTTATACCGTCACCAGGAGAGAATAGATCCAGATGAATTCTCAGGGAACTTTCTGCTTTGAAATCCTACACTTTAACAAACATAATGACCCTACACTTTAGCAAATGACAAATCCAAGTTTGCTTATTCATGGGAGTATGTGTGTATGAAAAGAATGTGAATAGTTGAACTTTTAGGAAAGCTAAATAGCTTTGCCGGGTAAAGTAAACTTATATCAAGGTTATAAAGTGCTAAAATGATGGTTTTCGCCCCCCACACATTTGTGTCATATGATGGCTTTCCTTCAGGTAGACTCAGCAGGTGAGCACCTTGATCTCTTAGCCCAGGCTTAGGAGTTGCATATTACAGGCTCCAGCTGTCCCGTCCGGTGCCTTGATGACATCACAGAGCTGCCTTGAGGCACAAGTGAGATGATGGCCGTGAGTAGCTACAAAAATTAAGTGTCCCTCCGAATTGAGAACTTTTGGCTACAGGGATCTGTTCTTTGTGGAGGGAAGATGCTACTTTTTATCAAAAGTAACGTGAATAGAAGGAGCTTCCAGGTATCTTATCCTAGTCCTGAACACTCTCTAGTTCGCACTTCTGTTATTTTTCTGTCCTAGGTTTACTATTCTGAAGGTGGAGAAGCCTCAGCCATCGGGCAATTCAAAGGTCGAGTTGTAGGTTCCACTAATCCAGGTAATGCATCTATAACCATATCGTATATGCAACCAGCGGACAGTGGAATTTACATCTGTGACGTTAACAACCCCCCAGACTTCATCGGGAAAAACCAAGGCATCATCAACGTCACTGTGTTAGGTATGGACACCTCTTTCTGGCTTTTCTCTTCTTGGAGCAACTTAGTGCACTGAATGAACCAGGGCACTAAGTTTCGATGCCAGTTAAGTCTTTCCATTGTCAGGAAGGTAGAGACATTCCGCCAATTCAGTCCATACAATAGCACTGAGAAATCACTCATAAAACACTTAGAAACAATTGTCAAAGTTCAAGGGCCGCCCAAATCACCATAGTAGATGACCCAACCTCCAGCAATCCCCGTCTCTGAAGAATACAGTGATGAATACAATAGGAACAGGTGAGCCAACCTACTGTCCCACCAAATGACCACTAGCAAGTCTTTCAGACAGAACTTCCAATTATATACAGCCAGACTTACCTGGAAGAGACAGCTATCAATTCCCACTATTAAATCATTCTTTTAAATAAAGGGAGGAGGAACCCTATTTAAAAATGTGAACACTATTTGGAAAAAGGACTATTTTTAGTCCTTTAAACCACTGTCAAGATCTAATTTATTTATCTAAACATTCATTATATGACATTGAGCAAGTCGTATCTGCTCTCAAAATGAATTTGGAGTAGTTCATTTATTTAGTATTTATTGAGTGCCTCTGTTGTTCCAGGAGAGATACGGTTTGCAGTGATAGAGGCATGCATCGTGCCCTGGGGAGCTCCCAGTTTTAGCAATTTCTAAGGATCCTTCCAACTGCTATGTGAGAAGAGAGTGGGGGCTAAGCAGCCATCGGCAGGCCCTAGAGGTGGAGAGCGCTAAAGCGAGGGAGGAAAGGACTGGCAACCAACTGACTGCATAACCAGTTGACTAAGCATTTTCCCACTTGCGAGGAACCCCAAATGGAATTGATCTAGTTATTTTTCCTCTCAACCTGTGTGTGTACATCACAGGGCAGAAGGAACTAGATCAAATCAATGACTTGATAATTGAGTTACTTGGAAAAGCAGCAATTGGCAAGAAGGTATACACCTAGGAGAACTTTCAACCATTGTCGTGGCTTTCCTCCGAGGTAATGCCAGAAAGGAAGCAGTTGATACTGTGAGCTTTGCACTGTCTACCCGCCTGGAAAAGGGAGAAAGGTTTGCAAGGGCTGACGTTTAAGAGTGGGTTGGTTGAGTAAATTGTGCTTTCTTTTGCCGAGCTAGGTAGGGCAATCAGAACAGGTGCTCATATTTTGGATTTGAGAACTGCAAACACATTCCTAATTTTTACAGAAAATTAGCAATCTTAAAATTTCCAGAAAGCCTCAATTTATAGCTTAAATTCTACGCCTAAGGAGCAGACAAGGGAAATATTACTCAAGCAGTTTCCTGGGAGGGTTTATGTTCCAGTTTGAAAGACTAGTCCCATGCATGGGAACTATCAGGCTAAAAGTTGTGGTATAAATGCCAAAGTATCAAGGTGGGGGTCAGAAGACCTAGGTTCTAGACTTTGTTCTCTCAGTTTATCTTTCTTTGGCTATTTTAAGATGGGGTTGTAATTCCTGCCCTGTCTTCTTTATTGGTTTGTTATGAGGATCAAGTGAGATACTGGAGATTACAGGGTCTTTTAATGTTCAAATAATTTGAGGGATTAATTATTTAATTGTTTTTCTGCCACTCCTTGGTTCTGGGGATTTCTAAGCAGAAGCAATCTAGATGGGTTAGGCTTCTTTATAACATGGCTTGGAAACAGTCTTGACATAAAGCTAAACAATAAAGTTAATGCTCTTAAATGTAAAGGTCAGAGGATTTCAAGTGAATTTCCATAAGAAGTGGAGGGTCATTTTCTCTCTGAGTCATTCTTTCCCATGAATTTTTGGGTGAGGTAATGTTTGCCTTGTGTCATGACTTTTCCTTAAGTTGTTAGGACTCAGGGAAGCTACCAGGCTGGATAGTCTGTGGATTTCCTTGTTTAGGAACTCTCAAAACTTCTTTTTTAATAAGAGTGAAGAACAAAGGCATCCTATAAATTTAGGCTTTCTGGAAATTTTGAGACTAGTAATTTAGTTAAGAGGCTGTTTATGGTTCTCAAATTTCAAATGTGAGCAGCTATTCCGTGTGGCCTGCCCAGGGTTGGGGTGAGATGTGACAGATGGTAAAGGAAACCAGTTGTGGGGAGAAGTATTGATATTTCCTGAAAGGTGGCTCTTCATAGTGATGTGTCATTCAGAGTTAGTTAAGTACCCTGCAACAGGTATCAATCCCATGTATTTGCTTGTGTAGGCATTAATTTGTTCAACAATCTGGGTACATGTGTCAGGTACTATGCCAAGCAATGGAGATGGGAAGATGTAAAAGACAGGGCCCCAGTCCTCAAAAAGTCCAGTGCAGTGAAGGAGTCAGTTTTGCAGCATAAAAGCTTTCGGTGGAGGTATGAAGGCACACAAGCGAGGTCTGAAAACTGCATAAGGGCAATTTGAGAAGACTTGTTGGGGAAAATGTCTTTAGCGCTTACAGCTAAATGACGTATAAGAGTGTGCCAGGCAGAAAAGGGGCAGAGGTGGCAGGCACAATTTAGGTGAATAAAACAGCAGCAAGCAAAGAACCAGGTGGTCTGGACGGCCATTTATTTGAGTTTCATTAGTTATGACAACCTTGGAAAGTCAGTCTCTGAAAAACACTGAGGCCCAATGTGAGTAATTATTTTGTATGCATTTGGAATGAAGATCGTCTCCCTTTTGCAATTTGGCACATAGCAAAAAAATGTTAATTTAGAGAAGGTTGGAGGATACACTGAAGCGTGTTTACTTATTCTGAGAGGTGAGCCTGTTGCCCCCATTCCAATTCTACTGAAAACAATAAAGCCAAAGGGTGGATCTATGGCTTTGCCAGTAAAACATCCAAATTCTGCCAGGGACTTCAACTGGATAAGATGTCAGTGTGATTCTGATTCAATAGTGTTAGAAAATAGATAGGCTTTGGATTTGGTTCAAAGTAATCCACTGTTTAATAAAAGGAAGAAAGTATGTTTGGCAAAACCCCCCTAAGTCTATTTGTTTCTTGAATCTGCGTTCATAAAACAAGTGCAAATCATTTTGGGTATTTGTCCACAATTTAGCTCGAGTCATAGTGTCTGACTTTTTGTGTTTTTGCTGTGATACACCAGCATTACTTTTCTGTTTAAATTGTTCTATTCTGCCATAAAGGCTATAAAATCCCCGTCTTTCAAAATAAGGCAATATCTATGTCTAGTGATAATTGCAATGGATTCTTGGTTTAACAGCCTAGTTTAAGATAGAAAAATCAAGCTGTTCCTATCTGAGAAAATCATTGGTAAGGAAGGAAAAAAAGCTAAATAGAAAAATAGATGGGGGCAGTGAAGCATTTCAGAGTTAAAACTACTGGTGCTCATGTGCACAAGGGGTTGGACTATGAGGCGGCTGAGTGGGGCAAAACTCGAGGGAAGATTAACTTCAGTAGCAGCAATTAGTCTTGTCCATGGCCAGCAACAATTCTATGCACCCTATATGTGTTATTTTATTCACTCTTTGGATCGGCCAGAGGTTAGATAATCTCTTATTCACATTTTATAGATGAGTCAGCCATGGTTTGGTTAAGTTCAGTAACCTGCCCAAACACATGAAAGGCAAACTTGCAGAGCTAGTATTCTGTGTGGACGCAGAGCAGTGCGCTCTTAACTACTGTGTGCCAGGTTAGTAGCAGGAAACCTGCAAGGATGTAGCTTCGCAGTAGAGTGTTCCCCTAGTATGTGCAAGGCCCTGGGTTCTATCCCCAACACTATAACAACAACAACAGCTAGAGGGCTGAGTGGTCCAAACCATTTAAGATACAACTTGCTTAAGTTAGAGAATGTCTGCCTTTGGGGGGTTTTATATCCAAATTAAGATAAGGAAGATGAGTTGGAAAGTATAGAACTTTAGTAAGCTGTAAAAAGTTGAATGGGGGAGATTCAGATTCCCTGCTTCCTACAGAACTTCTCTACCAAGGTGTTTCCATAGGCAGCTAAAACTTGAAGTTTCAAACACCTTACCATCTCTTCTTTCTCTTTCTCATCATCACTTTACCCCCATTGACCTGCTCCTCTACCTGAGATTTTTTTATCTCAAGTGATGACAAGATCGTGTACCCACTTGTCCAAATGAGAACCCTGGGAGTCACCATAGATCCAACCCTCTTCCTCACGCTCCATATCCAATTGGTCAGTTGACTCTGCTTATTTTTCCTCTAATATCCTTAATGGCTTTTGAGCCTGTCTCTTCTTCCCCTTTGGTTCAGCCGCTCACAGTGTCAGAGTGATCCATCTAAAATGGTAAAATGACCATCATCAGTACTCTACTTAAATTTCTTCCATGGTCTTCCTGCTGTCAGCGTAAAATACATGAACAGCAAAGCTCTCCAAGTTATGGGCCCTGATGCTTTCTAACTTCACTGGCCATCACGTCCCTTACCCCACTTAAGAACTGTGCCTAAGTTGCTTTTGAACCTCTGGTGCCTAGCCTGGTGCTGGGCACACAGAGGGCATATAACTGAATGCTTGCTGAGTAAAGGAGGAATGCACATTGCAGTGCTATGTCACACACATCCAAAATGGGCTTCCTCTATCGGTTAGGGACACAGGCAAATTCAAGCCTTCCAACTATTGCATGTCACCCACAGATGAATAAACGATAAAAGACATAAAGGGATAGAAAAAATGTAGTATTAATAAAATTTGAAAAAATGGTAAACACCATGTTATTTAAAAATATTTAAGAGTTCTAGTTTCCTTTAAAACTACTTTAGAGGTATAAGCTATGTTCCTAGATGTTTAGTGTTTGCCTACATTTTACTTTTTAATAAAGGCATATTTAAGGCATGATGCTGAAATTCAGTTATAAATCTGGGAGGAGATGGGTCTTAATGATCTCCTTACTAGAAGGTCCCTACACCCAAAGTGGTCTACTCCCATATGGTGGTACAACCTGGAAATTGTCAAAATCAGTTTGTATAGATTTTTTAAGAAAATAAACATATTCTGCAAGCTGAGCGTGAGGAGGTGACTGCGGTTGTCATGGGCCACCATTCATCCTGCAGGGGTTTTACCGTTTTTTCATTGTCTTACAGTCAAACCTTCTAAACCTCTGTGTAGCCTCCAAGGAAGACCAGAAGCAGGCCATACCATCGCTCTTTCCTGCCTCTCAGCAATTGGAACACCATCTCCCGTGTACTACTGGTATAAACTTGAGGGAAGAAACACTGTGCCTGTGAAAGAAAGCTTCAGTAAGTACCACCTTGGCAGCCTTTGTCGAGGACTGCTGTTTGAGGTTACTGACAGCACAAGGGTGTGGCCAGCTGCTTGTCCTTAGTGTTCAGTCTTCTCTTTTTCTTTGGGAGGGAGAGGAATGTAAAAAGCATACCCATTTCTTAACATGATGGTTGTGCTATGGTCTACTCCCCAACTTCTAGCAGGCAGTTCAGAGATGGTGAGTTAGAGGAACTAGGCATAGTCCTAGCTGGCCCGAGTTGGGCATCTCAAGAAAGAGAGGCCAATGTGGGGGAAATGGGTGGGCACTGAATAGTCTGTTACAGTGACATGATCTGTACCCACGTAAGAGATTTTCAAAGTCTATTTCCTGATTTTGACAGATCCAGCCACTGGAATTTTGGTTATTGGAAACCTGACCAATTTTGAAGAAGGGTATTACCAGTGTACTGCTATCAACAAACTTGGCAATAGTTCCTGTGAAATTGATCTAACCTCCTCACGTGAGTTGACCCTACAACTTTATAACAGGTTCTCTTTGAGCCAAGTAGTCTGCACTTGTCAGCCAAGTAAATTATTTAGGATCTCTGCTTAGTCCTTCTTGAACTTCTGGAGACTGATGGCTTTATTTATAGGTTGATAGAATGAATGATCATTCTAATATCTAATGTTTACATAATATTTAATATACTCCCTAAGTCCTTTCAAAACCCAGTTTATTTAAATTTCACAAAATCTCTACAAAGTAGGTAGTAAGTAAAGCAATACTCTGATTGATAGTATTAGGCTGGATTTTTCTTTCCAATGCTGTTATTAAATACAGGTGCCACTGTAGGTATCTCTGTCAAGCATATAGCTCACAAACTTTCCAGTTCTTAACTGCTTTGTTAAGATTTGCTGATGATGATGATGATACTCACCCCCAACCACAGTACCACACTAGCTAATATTTGTTATCATCATTGCTGTTATGTGCCAGGCACTGGGCCAGGTGCTCACTCAATCTTCCCATCCACCCAATCTAGGGAGGCAGAATATATTGTTACCTATATTTTACTGAAGAAGTAACTGAAACTCAGGGAGGTAAGTGGCTTGCCCAACATCATCTGGTCCATAACTGGCAGAGCCACCATGCCTCTAAACCTCAATCTTGCTGGGGATATAGCTCGGTGGCATAAGCGCCTGCCTGGCAAGTGCAAGGTCGTGATTTCGATCCCTGGTACTGCAAAAAAAAAAAAAAAAAAACCAACCAACCAAACAAACAAACAAAAAAACCCCACCTCAATCTTTCAGTTCAAAGACGCTTGCTTACTGTCTAAGTTTAATACTTACAGGTCTTAGAATTAACAAATTGGGCTAATCTAGGGGCAAATCCTTACAGGAGATGTCTTGTTGAACCTCTTGACAATCATTAAATAACATTTAGGGTCTTGTTATCTATTAATTGTTGTAACATACTTTGAATTTGTGGTTTTATTGTATATCATATCCCAGTACAATAATTTCCATCAGATTAGTGCTCTTCTTATGAAGCTGAGCTTCTTTATTTGTTCTGAAGCTCATCCCTGTATTATCATATCACTTCCAGCTTAACCGTATGATGTTTTGTTGTTTTTAGATCTCTCCCATGCCCTTTATATCTTCCCAGAGACATAATCATGCTTCGGATATACAGACACATAGAATTTGTATTTGAGTCTTGTTTCCTTTCTAATTTTCCAGTGATATACAATGTTTTCCTGCCTTCCTATCTGCACTCCTCCCCTCTTCACTCCCTCACCCCTCCTCCCTTCCCTCCTTTCTTCCTCTCCCTCCCTCTCCTCTCTGCCTCCCTTCCTCCCTGCCTTCCTTCCTCCCTCCCTCCATTCCTTCCTTCCTTCCTTCCTTCCTCTCTTCCTTTCTCCCTCCCTCCATTCCTTCCTTCCTTCCTTCCGTTCTCCTTTCCTCCCTCCCTCCATCCCTTTGTTCCTCCCTTCCTTCCTCCCTCCCTTCCTTCCTTCCTCCCTCCCTCCCTCCCTCCCTCCCTTCCTTCCTTCCTTCCTTCCTTCCTTTCTTCCTTCCTTCCTCCCTCCCTTTTCTTTCTTTCTTTCTTTCTTTCTCTCTCTTTCTTTTTCTTTTTTCTTTCTCTCTTTTTTCTTTCTTTCCTTCCCTCATTCATTCCATCTGCAAGCATTTACTGAATGTCTTCCATGTGTAAATTATTGTCCTAAGTGATAGAGATACGGGGATATATTCTAAGCTCAAGAAGTCACAGTTAAAAAAAAAAAAGAAGTTCATAGTTCAGCTAGAGACAGACAAAAACTAAATTGTGCAAAATTCCATAATAGAGATCTGCACGGTCTATTAGGACACTAAAGAATTAACACTTATGCTTATAGATTTGCGGACAGCTTTGCCAACCAAGCACTATCCTTGCTGCCTCTTGGAGGAATTTGTGAAACCTGTTTCTTTATCTATAAAACAAGGATGTTGAAGGATAAAAGTGGAGCCGCAGACACAGAAAGACAACCAGTCCATGGTGGAGGGAGGGGAGGGAGAACTCCAGACAGGATGTTTTTGACAGAGAAAAAAAGCTTAAAAATAGCTATCTGATGGGTTTCAATCTATTGAAAAGAATTTAGTGATTTTTTTGTTGAAATTTGGGGATTAGTGATGACGCATTAAATATGTAAACAAATCCCCAACTGAGACAATTATTAACCTTGGGAATTTTTTGTTAATGTTGTACAAGGAAGAATCCCAGTATACTGTGTTCCTCAGCTGTGAATAATATTTACATAGTCATAACACTGCACTTTTGATTTAGCTAAAACTTGGGATCTAACTATATTACGAGAACGTAATGGGGCTTGAAGGGAACTTAATCTCCAACTTCCAGAGTAGGAAGTGAAAAGGGAAGGATGAAGACTGAAAAAGGCAGCACATTCCAGAACAAGCATAATAGAATCATGGGGGCAAGATTTTAAAAAACGGATCCAGAGGAGTTGCCTCTAGAGGATGGGATGCAGAAATGGGTATAAGTGGGGCTGTTTCTGTTAGTTCAGGACTATTTAACTTTCAAAATTATTCACATGTATCCCTTTAATCACAAAAGGTTAAAGGACTTATTGGGCAACTCAATTAGTCTCTTATCTCAATATAAATTGTTGGATCTTGTTTGACGTGAAGCGGACGCGGGTGGGCTAGCTTGTGAGCCAGACATGTTCTCACAGGGACTATACTTCCAGACTCGGAGGTCTGGTGCTCAGCTGGCTTGTCTCCCACTCGCTAAAAATTTCCATAGACTGATAATAAGCCTGTTTATTGAAATGACCATATTCCTTCCCAGTGACCAGAATGTACAAGGCTCCTTGGTGAGCAGTGTGTGAGTGAGAAGATTCTCAGGGGCTTGTTTCACCTATGCACTGGGAAAATCTGCTGAAGTGTTTTTGGTGCCACAGATGCATGCTTCTGGTGTCCACATTGCAGATTTTCTTCTCTAAACCCCTTGTGAAAGCAACTGTGCCGGCCCAAACTGGCACTTTTCTGATGTGTGTACATGTCAGCGGTTAGCCATATAGTCAAGAAGGTCCTCTTTTCTTCATACCCTGTTAATCCAACTAGCAGAATTCTAGGGGTTTTGATTCTCCTAACCTGTACAAGTCACTGTCCTGCTACGTGAATGTTCTAGGTTCTCCACCAGTCACAAATGCACGTGTATGAGGTGACAGTACGTTCTCATTTACTAACCAGCTGCATGTATCTTCCAGACCCAGAAGCTGGGATCATCATTGGGGCCTTGGTTGGTATCCTGGTAGCTGCTGCCATCATCGTTGCTGTGGTGTACTTTGCAAGAACCAAAGCAAAGGAAAAGAAGAGGCACTCTAAATCCACCACAGAGCTTGAGTAAGCCCTTTATTTAATTGAATAAAAACACCTCAGACATAGCTCTCTCAGTCAGCTCTACGCAGCCCTTTTAGCATAAAATATTAGAAGTATCTTTCTGCTTGCTTTCTGTGTTTTTACAAAAAGAATGATGGTGGCTTCCATCTGCTGAGTGAGACTGTTCTAAGCACTTTTGTGTTTCAACTCGTTTAAGCATTACATCAACCTTCCTAAACCAGTAAAATGTTTTATGATGCAGTGCTAACGTATTTGTCTTTATGCCAACATAGGTATGGTTTTAAATAGTTTTTATTGAACAAGAGGCTCATGAAGGCAAAAGTGAATATAGTCCACAGAAGTCGGAACGTGGCCTTCCCACAGCCCGCACTCTTAACCACTCTGCTGTTTACCGTCCAGTGTAGATCCTACGCATTCATTCGCTCGCTTTTGCTTCTCCTTGCTGCCACAACTATGTACTGGGCACTGACCAGGTGTGATGCGTTGTGCTAAATGGAGTTGGAGATTGAGACACATCAAGGCTATGGATTTAGTCCTTATTAGACCAAATCTAAGACTTTCTTTGCTTCTTTAACTCTTTCTCCTTTTAAACATAGTTTGTCTTTCTTGAACTTTCACCATTTTTGAGACCTAACCTTTCTGAACCCCAAAATGGACACAGGTAGTGAGTCAAAACATCAGAAATAACAGACAGGCTGGGATCTATGTTACTGAAACTACAGAGTATATGGCTCCCCGTGAAGCCGCAAAGTTAGCATTTCCCTTACATATTCTTTTCTGGGCATTCTTTCTTGCAGACCAATGACGAAGACAAGCCAAGCAAGAGAAAGCAAAGCGATGTCAGCTGAAGATGCCGTTGAGCTAGAAACAACACTGCCATCCTCCACTCACGAGAATGAGCCTGCTGGCATCTTGGCCCCAGGCCACGAGCCTCCCCCACAACCAGAGTCGGCCACACAACCTGCCACAGCATCGGCACCTATCAGGGTGCCTGCAATTGAGATCGAGCTGCAGCCACATCCAGTGCAAGAGCCTGAGGCGGAACCAGAGCCTGAGGTTGCAGTCGAGCCCCCATGTGATGAGGAAAAGGCTGTGGTTAATGCGTAGGCTGCGCCTCTGAGTACGGCATTCATCACGAAGGAACCCATTACTAGCGTTTGAAATTCAGTTGGCCACCTCCTCCCTCTATTCTGACCAACTCTCTCCTAACATAGTGCCCGTTCTTACCATGAATTCCAATAAATGCATTGTTAACTGCTAAGTAAATGCAAGGGTTCCTGCATTATCACTACGGAATACTGAAAGTTGTACTAATATGTAAGCATAATAAATAACAAAGCAAGTGATTATGAACTCAGTTGAAAGTTTTGCAACAGCAAACATACTGCAGAAAATCTTGGTTCTCATGCCGGGGATGTTGCTCAGCAGCACAGCATCTGTCTGGCAAGTGTGAGGTCACGAGTTTGACTCCAGGTACCAAAAAAAAAAAATCCTTGGTTCTCTAGTTTTCAGATATTTTGTTGTGTTCCACATACATACAAGACAAGGTGGCATTAATTCGATTCAATATAATTTATAGGATTAGTTTTCTGGCTTTCCTATTCATTTTTATATTTACTACTAAGAAAAGAATTCAACTGCATAGCTCATAGATTAGCAAGACACTCTCTACAAACAACAGAGAATATATAAAGAGAGGGTACATATTAATTGGTATATAGCATTTAAAGCCAAGCCTTACGACTGATGCTTCATTTATCGTGTTTGATTTCCCAAGGAATCACTCTGGTGTCCAATATCTGAGCAGAGCAAATTCTGAAAATAATCTAATTTTTAAATGCCAGATGACAAACATACAGGCAAATGCTTTCAAATACAATTCCCTTCAATAAGTACAAAGTGCTGATATCGTAAGTGCTGTAGAATTTAGCTTTGAAAAAGCTATTGTTATCACTGTAGCTGATGCTACTTACTTTGAACAGAACACTAGGAAGGTCTTCCAAATGAACACTTAAGGTCTAGTTGAGATAATCTCAACTAATTATTTAAACCTATTTTACTTCTGGTAGATTCCACATTAATAAAGCAAATTTATTCTTGTGGAAATGCTAGATATTAACTAAGATGCACTGATATCTTCTTCTCTTCAACTGTTACAAAGCTTTTTCATGGTCATATTTCACTCACATCCCACCTTAAGGAAATTTACAGGTAGACTTATTTTTTCACTTGTACAATCAATTATATCTTAAATCTTGTTTTAAGGCTCAACAAATGATCCTCAAAATCTAATTTTAATGACTCCTAAAAATACATCCTTTCATAAGTAACTTTACTGACACATAACTTATGCACAATGAACCCCACCCATTTTAAGTGTACAATTTGATGAGTTTTCACAGTCACACACCCATGAAATCACTATACTCATCTGGATAGAGAACATCCATAAGTCCAAAATGTTTCCTACGTGCTCTTTTGTCTTTTGTGCAATACCATTGTGCCCCGGACCTCAGCAAGCACTGCTCTGTTTTCCATAGAGATTATCTTTGCCTTTGCTTGACCCTCACACAGATAGGATCATCCAGTGTGTGTGACTTCTAAGGTGAAACTTTTTCAAGTGAGGTAATGAATCTCAAATTTACCACATCCACATTTTCATGTAAAATATTTTCTTAAACTGCAAACTCTTTCCTATGTAGATCAGACTCATACACCAAATTGAGGAAGGGTATGTAGGTTTTAAGAGTATGCATGGGTTGGAATGCAAATGCCAATTACATCTGTCCAGAGTCATGGAGAGGACAGTCAGCAAGCTTCTACTTCTGCATTTTCTTTAATGTGTCAGCTTGCCGCCAATCTCAGGGGTAACTGAAGCATCTGTAATTCTATTCGCACAGAATTACAAGCCATATGACATATACTGTCTGATTAGTATAGGAAGTAAAATGATCTTAAGATAACCTAATATTTAGATATTAAAAACTAAACGTCAAAAGTATAAAAAACGTCAATAACCAGAATGTCTAAGTAGCTGGAAGTCATTTTTCTCTCCCACTTTTATGAAACAGGCAAACCTAAGAGTGACGTGTAATAGTCCAATTTCTGATGGATCAATGCTGACCAGGAAGGCGGGCATTACTGATCTTACAGAGCTCTGTCCCTATTAACATTGTTCTGTTCAAAATACTGCTGAGTACTTTGATCAATGGCTTTTAGCCCTTTTTTAGTTACAGACCACTTTGAGAACCTCCTGAAAACTGTGAATCCCTTGCCATTGAAAAATCACACATAAAATATCACATACAAATGCAGATGTTACAGACTACCTGAATTCAAGGTTAAGAACAGTGACTTAGATAAAAACACAGAAGTTACACTTAATAAATTTGTGAATGACCCAAATACATAGAAATGTCTGGATTTTAAAATACAGAGTACATGTTGTCCTGCTGGGTAAGTATGTACCTTTGGAATTTTCCTCTCAGTCCCCTTCCTGACCTTTGCAGTGCCTTATTTTCCAGACACTCGGGATTCCCATGCTCTTACTAGCTCCGTGACCTACTGAGATCTGTATCCCTCAGGCAAGAATTCATTGCTCAGGACCAAGCCCTACTCGCTTAAAAAGGTGGCTGTTCTGTGACCTCTGCTTGTCCAGTGAACATGAACTTTCATCATCCAGTCAACTCATTCAAGTGGAGAAATGACTTAGGCCTCTTTAAAGTTCTACCACTTTTGGAGACAGGGGTAAGCTACGTTGTCCGGGCTGGCCACCAACCGAAGTAATCCTCCTGCTCAGTCTCCCAAGTAACTGCTTCTATAGGCGTCCATCACCATGCCCCGCTCAGTAGAACTGACCCTTTAAAGGGGACTCTTGAACATAGCCCATAATACAGAGAGTCTAAATAGGGGAATTTAAAGTACTGAAACAATCTAGTGGAAGATATTCATAGAAAAAGAATCTTGTCAGTTCCTCTCCAAGCAAACCTTGGGGTTTGCCATCTACTCAGCCTAGTTACAGTGACTCTGGTCAGTGCAACTTCATCCCAATGTCCTTATGTACGTCATGATACACCCAATATGTATGGTTGTGATGAATCTTGCATCCCTGTACAACACTGGTGTGACGCAACTCTGCTCACTAAATCTCACTTGGGCAGGAATGGGCTCATATGTTTAAAAGCTTCCCAATAAGGGAACAAAATGTTTTCTGCTTCTTTATCATTGGATCAGAAATTATTCTGACTAGTTAAGCTTTGACCAAATTATTTTAGAGTAATCCTTATTCAGAGAGGGTACTAAATTATTTATTTTGCCACAAGTAGTTGAAATTCAGCGGGTAGTCTCACAAAATCTCAAGCCAGCACTGTTTTTTTTTTTTTTTTTCCGGTACCAGGAATCGAACTCACGACCTCCTGCTTGGCGCTTGCCAGGCAGGCGCTGTGCCGCTGAGCTAAATCCCCAGCCGAGCCCGGTTTCTTGAAGATCTATTCTTGCCACACAAAATGCTTTCCAGGAACTTCTTTTTCCCATCTGCATTTAGCAACTAGGATGTGCCAAGTCAATAGAATAGCTTTGTTGGTGGTAAACCCTTATCTACTAATTTCTTTAGTCAATCACTCACTGGACATTTATTGAATAGCTACTATGAAATTGGCACTGTTGGTGGCACAATGGTGAGCAGAATCAGACATAGCTCTCGTCTTTATGGAGTATAGTTTTGCTATGATATGAGTAGTGTGTGTTTTTGACAATTCTGTAGAAGAAAGTTGCAATTTTTATGGCACTAGGGAAGGCTTCCAAATTATAGCGATCTATGATGAAGGGGGACTAAAATATAGTAATTTTTGACCAACAGGAAAGAAGGCACATGTATTGATATTTCTTGCTCCTTTTAGAGTACCAGGTGACTCATGTTATATGCTGAGAATTTAATATTTACCTTTACCACTGGCCTGTGTATAACTCAAGTATGACGAACCCTCAGTAAGAATTTCAGAGCTGGGAGAAAACTTTACCATGGATCATACTCAACCTTTTCCAACGCCAGTACATGTGAGAGTTGCAACACACATAGTGGCTCTCTCCTGACGATGCGGGTGGAAGTGGGAGATGACACAGAATTGTACATTCTTGGTGAGAGAGACAAGAAAGTCAATGTACTTTTAAAAAGCTGCTTTGTTCTTACATAATCTTACCCAGTCCCCAGAGGAGAATCCCTAAGTAAAGAGAGGGGAAATAATCCGTTTGAGATTATACAAAGTTGAAACTAGATCCAAATTCTGGTTCCCACTGTAATGCTCTTTCAAGTGCACCAAAATAGTAGTCTCAATTAAGCCCAAGTTTTAGTAATAAGAGGTTGCTTTACAATGTCTACATGCTGGAAAACAGGGCATCATAAAGGCTCAAACCACAAAGCTGAGGGTCTAACTCAGTGGTAGAGAATTTGCCTACTGCATGGAAGGATCTGGGGTCCGTCCCCAGAACCACAAATAAACAAACGTGGTTCCAACTAATCAAGAAACACTCAATAATCCCAGTTTTCTTTGAAGCTTTGGCTTAAAAACAAAGAAATCAGAAAATGATGAGGGCTCCGGGGAAACAAAAAATGCCAACACAGGAAAACAAAAGGTCCTTTATTCACAGTATTTGACCTTAAATGTGTGAGTTTTTCACACTGTATCACATTAACTCAGCCTCCAGTGTGGCCCCTGCTGTAGGATGGGAGATGGGGCTGAAAGTTCCTAGTTTATGATCATAGTTTGGCCATTGCAGTGAATAGCCCCCATCAGGAAGCTATCCCGAAGCCCAAGAGTTGCATGATTAGAACAGAAGATGCTCCTCATACCAAGAAATCTGAAGTGTTAGTAGTTCTGGACAAGACACTCTTAACAACCTCTATACCTTGAGGCCATAATGTCAAGTGAAATAAATCACACACAAGCTTACATATCACATGGTTTCTCTTATATGAGAAACCCAAAATATAAATAAAGAGCAAAATAAAAGATAGCAGGAATTAGGGATATTGAACTTTCTCAAATGGGAAGGGGAACAAGAGATGAAGGGGAGGATGGGAGGAGCCAGGGATGATTAAGTGTTATGTACAAGTACCAAATCCCCACGAGGAATGTAATCATTATCTACTGGAAACCTGTACTAAGAATAAAAGAGTTACAGGACCTCTGTCAGTAACCTGGAACTGAAACCAAATATATATTTATGTCACAACCAATTTGAAGAAAAGCACAGGGCAAGTGTTACAACTAATGGGTTATTATCAATGTCAGAGTACCTTCCATTTGGTTTAGTGATTTTAAGTACAGGCAGAAAAAAAATGTATTAGGATCCAGGAGAGCTGTATTTTGGTATTGGGTATTTTCTCATGTGTAAAATGGAGATGACTTTTCTTCTTACAGGCAATAGTAAGAATAGATGTAAAGCTTATAAAGCACTAGAACTACAATGTTCTAGAACTCATATCTCCAGACAAATGATTCAATATTCTTTTTTCTCTTATGCAGTAATTCTTAATTTTGAGGAATCACAGATTCTTTTGAGAATTTGATAAAAATTTATGAACCTTTTTCCCAGAAAAATATACCTACAACATTCTGCATTCAATTTTAGGCAGTCAATAGCACTGTGAAAGTGGAGCCATATAACCCGAAGTAAAGAACCCTCATACTATATATCAATTTTGTGGACAGACTAATATTCCACAGCAGAATATGGAAGCAGAAAACTGTAGGCAGAGCTGTATAAAAAGTTCATTGTAAATGGTGTAACTGAGACATGAAAAATCAAAACACTAGGCTCAGGGAGTTAAACACTTAAGTCAAAGATTTTAGAGCACAATACAGATTTACTTTGAATCTCATACAATGTCACCAAAATTATGAATTCTCTATAAAAGGTACACTTAAGAACATAAATTTTTCCAGTATTTACTGACCCATTTCTTCCAAGTTACATTTTCAGTTAAACTTTAAAATTGATTTATCCTTTTTGAGTTTGTTTTGGAAGTAACTAAAACATGCTGACCTTGAATCAGCTTCTCTTGTATTAGATTTCCTATAGGTAACAATTTGGTCAGGATCTGAGGGCATTAATACTGTTAGTTTATACAAACCAGTGATTCAAATATTGTTAACAGGTTACTCAAGCCTACAAATTACCCCAGTCTTGGTTCCTTCTGTATTGCTTACTGAAGAACGCATACAAAGGAATTAAAACGAGTTTCTATTATATCCATATATCCTATTACCTCAGAAAACAAACTCAATATTTAAAGGCCTTTAGTCTTAACTGATCCTATTAGACAAGACTTTACTGTTTAATCACATTTAAAATATTGAAAATAAATTATTTCCCCTACCACTTATTCTATCTCCAGCATTCAATAAATCAATAGTTTTGTTCCACAAGAAGATGTTCCCGGGCTGGAGGTGTATCTTAATGGTAGAGCAATTGCCTGGCTTCAATCTTCAGGACTGCACAAACAAATTTATGTAAAATATTTTTATTTATAAACAACAAAGTCATATTTACAAAACTCATTTTAATTACTGGTCCTTAAGTCCCTGACCTCAAATTAATACAAGTTTGTGGGCTCACTTGGATCACTTTTTTTGAACAATATTTGCAGCTTAATATTCAAATTAAAAAATAATTTCAAGAGTCACTTTGAGTATGTTAATTTTGTAACTAATAATCATTTAAGATGCTTCCTTAAATTGAGTTCAAGTGTGCATTTATTAATTTCCTTTTGCTCTGCATTTAGCTGGCAATTCAGAAGACTACAATTTCAAAGATTTTAGTTGCAGTTCAAGCTTCACTAATTTTATTGACTTTAGAGCTACCCACGACTGAGAAATGTTTTTACTCAGAATTTTAAGGCTTAGGTGAATGTCTGAGTTTAAAAACAAAAAATTGGGGTGTTCTAACATTTTTTTAAGTTCTGAAATACAAATCAAAATACCTTTTTGGTACAAATACTTTAACAATCTAGACATTCTTTTCAATACAAGGTGAGTCAATATAGGTATTTTAAAGTTGTGTTTTTAAAAACAAAACATCTTCTGGAGGAAAACAGCTCATCAGAGAGATACAAAGGTACAGAATACTGTACTCTGCTATTTTAGAGCATATCCTCTGATTTAAAATTTGGTCCACTAAATATATCTTCTATAACAAAAGAGTTATAGTTGGAAAAATGGGAATATTTATCATAGGTCTCTGAGTAGTAGGATGTGTTTCAATTATATGAAGGTACAGAATGCACCTGGAACCACCTGACAGAACAACCTGCCCACTGCTACATGGGTTATCGTGCTTCAGAGGGAGAGAGAAGGTACACAGGAAGGTGCTGAAGACTTGTAACAGCCGTACAATCACCCAAAATTAACCAAAATTCAATATTAGAAAACAACATATGACAAGAGTAGAACAATTTCAACGATTATTCATTGCCTGGAAAGCAGGTTGTATAACCAGTTTACAACACGCTAATTATCTCAGCAGGAATAATACAACATGTTAGTAAGAGTCTGAAGTTAAGAAAACTTCATCCTTTGCAGATAATGCCTTGTGCACAAGTACATTAGTTTCCAGGGCATTGAGGACAGCAAAACATATAAAGTAAGAATAAATACAAGCTGCTTTAACCTTCCACCATTCTCTTGAGTATTGAACCCAAGCCACCTTTGGCCACTTGCAGGGGTGTTTTTTCTTCTTTATTTTCAATGTAAATACTTGCTCCGTGGGATGCCAGCAGTTTTGCTTCTTCTACTCTCTCCTCATCACAGGCTAAGTGTCTGAAATCAGGGAACACAAAGACCAATTAACCACCACAAATCTACTTAATGGTTAGGATTTCCTACTCTAAAGAGCATATTATTAGGCTTTGGAAATTTATTTAATCAGGAAAGTAAAATCAATTTGTATGGGAAAAACTATTTATAAGTTAAAATTCACTGGAATACCCTTGCAGTAGCAGATCATAAATCATAATCTTCCTCCTACTACTCTATGGTAGAAGAACGGATCTAAATGACAGCTCAAGGCAAAACTTCCACATTTTATGGAGATCAGCAGTAGTTTATCGCAAACACTGCATGTAATAAATCTGGGTTAGAATTCAGAAAAGCCTCAATTCATAACCTGTTAGTAGCAACTTATATGGCTTAAACTTTGAAAAACCAGTTGAAAATATTTCATTTCATTTGATCGATGTATGTACCTGGCAAACAGCAAGGTATTATCATCAAAATTGTGACAGAGGTTAAAGCTCTTAGTTATGACGACATGGTTGAGCAGTAAACTGGGCAGGGAAGGAAAGTAACCTCTGTTAGGCACTTATAGTTTTCCATGTAGGGTAGTAGGCACTTTCCAGGGTATTTTACTCAAACTTCACAATAATACAGTGAGGAAAGAATTATCACCATAACATTGCAGACATTAACACTCAGAAAGGTTAATGTATATTTAACACAGCTAGAAAGTGGCAGAGTTTGAACTGGAGGAATAGCAACTAGGTATTCCAAAATACTGTAATTTTCCTAGGACTCTACATTGTCTGAATTCTAGACTTCCTCCAGGCAATCCTGCCTTTTGAGTTTCGGAGAAAAGAGCTAAAATATACGGGACTTTCCAAAAGAGTCACTCAGCAATAGAGGGAAGCTCTTTTAAACTAAAAGTTAATAAAGTAATACTTCTTAAAGTTGGCTTAAAGTCAATCTGTAAAAGGTTGAATAAACCTCACTCTGAACTACAAAGAAGACTCACACTTTCAAAAACAGACACCATTCAACATGGAAGAGGTCAAATAATGCAGAAAAATATCAAGGCAAATGCAGGTTGTACAAACAAAAGTTAAATGGAAAATGGTAACAACTCTCAATCAAAACCAATGAAATGTTAAAGAAAACCTATAATAAAATATAGGTGAGCAGTTAACAAATTTCATGATGAGGATGAGCTTTCTAGTCGTGAGGGAAGATTAAAAGGTTTGACTACACAGAGATGGAAAACTTGTGCTTTTTTTAAAAAAAATCATGAACAAAATAAAAGACCAACTGGGACAAATATTTTCAACTAATGCGGCAGAAAGTTGTGTTTTTACTATGTTAAGTGAAGAGCACTTCAAAGCCAGTAAAAACAAACTAATTCTCCCAAAGAGAACAGAGAAAGGGACACAAAGTTACAATTTAACACATTCCTGCAGGCTTGAAGCACTGGTGGTATATGCATGACTGTCCCATTGGGACGCTTCTACCACCCAACTGAACTGTCCTATACTGCTGAATGGGACAGCCATGCACGTACCACCGGTGGTTCAGAGCCACCTGGCAGTGAGGCATAAGACATTACAGCCTGTTGTGAATGTGTTAAAGAAATACAGCTTGCCAAAAGGCATTAAGTTTCAAAATCAATGATGATAAGAAATGTAAATTACGAGCATAAAATACCATTTTTCATATAATAAAAGGATAATTTCAGTGTTGATGCCAGGGAAAAGGCATTCTTAAAATGCTCCTGGGAGGGTACAATGATACAACTCCTCTGGAAGCAATTTGACAACACATAGCAACAGCCTTAAAATGTGTGTATTTGTTGATCCAGTAATTCAACTTCTAGGAGTCTCCAATAAGGTAATAGCAGTATGGACAAAGGCTTTTATGCAAAGTAGGTCAGTGCAGCAGTATTTAAAATAGTGGAAAACTCAGAAAAGTTTATAAAGTAAAAAAAGAATGATTAAATTGGGTCCATCCATAAAATTGACTGCATATAGTCATTTAAAATGTTTTAAATGTATTTAATGACACTGGAAAATGCTTACCATATGAAATAAAAAGCACAAGATATAAAATTACAGATATAATATGACCCCAATTTTGCTAAAATATATGTGTAAAATATACACACGTGCATATAAAAGACTGGGAAGAAAATCACACAAATGTTAGCGGTGGTTATTTCTGGATGGTGAATGATAGGCAATTTTTATGCTTTACTGTACCTTCAGATTTTTGCTACTAACATGTATAAACAGAATAACAAAAGAAATAATATACAAGAATTACTGCAAGAGGGCTAATGTTAAGTACATGCAAATAATTTTACTTGTCACTTACAGAGGAGTGTTACCCTCAGTGTCTTGGATGTTTGTGGACGCTTTGTAGTACAGAAGGATATGAATTATCTTCAAGTTGCCCTTGGCTGCTGCCCGGTGCATTGCTGTAGCCTCATAATGGTCCTTAGCATCTGGATTAGCCCCACCTTCTAGTAACATAACAGCAATCTGAAAAAGTCAGAGAGCAGACTACTGCAGAGATCAATTTAACCAATTTAACAATAACCCATGACCTGCGGACCAACTTACTGCAGAGATCTACTTGGGTTTATGTACACGTTTAGAACTCAACTGAAGTAGTCTAGAGCCAGAACTATACCTCATGCCTGTTTTTGGAAGCAGCGTAATGGAGAGGTGTACAACCATTTTGATTGACAGCATTCACTTGTGCACCTTTTTCCAGGAGGGCCTTTACGATCTCATCTCGGCCAGCAGAGGCGGCAATATGAAGAGGGGACCAACCAGCCTGCAAAAGAGGTGGGTTGTACGAAACCAGGGGAAAAAGGCACAGATATCAATGTGAATATTTACACAGGGTTTACTGTGTTATGTGCGAATAGTTTAAAAACAGACATTTTACCCCTCATCAAGCACTGGAGAATTTGGAAAACAATGTACTATAAAAAATATAATATGATAATGTAGACTTAATGATATATAAGTCTAATTCTAATGTGTTTGCTCCTTTATAATACAGTATTTTAAAATCAAAACTGGGATCAGGGGATATAAAGTTTTGTGAAGTGCATTTTTCACCATTTCCCTTGTGTTGTAAGAATTTCTCTGCTATTCCCTGTAATTATAACTTTGCTGGTTGCATATTATTTTACCATAGGGATGTATTTTACTGTTCTCAGCCATTCATCCATTAGATTATTTTTACTTCCTTCCTATTATAAATATTAATTTAGTAAGCATTCCTGAAAAAGGACTTTTTTGCCAACAAAAAAGGTTTCTAATCTTCACAATTCTAATACTATCACTATATAACCTAGGCCTTCTTTATTCATCAAAGAAAATCCAACCATCATAAAAAGAATTTACAGTCTTTTAGGGTTCACAGTAGTAAGTCCTGACCTGTATTTTTACCCCAAGGACAGAGTATGAGTGGCAAAATTAACTTTCTAAAATAATGCAACCAGTAGTCACACGCTTGATCACCAGGGAAATGCTCTAACTTCCTGGCTGTAAAAGTTACAATTTTGTTTATGAACTTAATATTGAGGCTTCAGTAAACACCAGGGTGCAGTCTAAAGATAAGTGGGAATTTATCAGTTTTGCCTAGTACTCACATCGTCTTTATCATTCACTGGCACTCCGAGTTGGAGCAAGAAGTCAACAATCTCTGTATGTCCTGCTGAACATGCCCAATGCAGTGCAGTTCGGCTGTCCTACGTGGAAAACAGAGCAACACAATGGTCAACATTCTTGAAGAGACATACAAGGCAAAAAGGCAGAAAAAATAATATTGGTACCAGCAAACCTATTGTTCGAAAACAAGAAATGGAGCACACTGGATCCTCAGGTGGGTAACCTTAAACCGTATTACTTACTACCTAGAACAAGAGGTAAAGAATTTAGTAACATAGGGTGAGTAAGGTCGACGAATGTAAGTAATTCTGGGCAGAATACGGCGATGAAATGCATAGAGCAAGAAACCGATTCCAGTCTTCTGGCTTAAAAGGAGATTTGGCTGTTTACTTTTACTTATGTACTTCTACGTCAGGCATAGTGCTAGTTTCCTATGCATCATATCACCTACCCCCACCATCCTATAGAGCGGACACTATCCCCATTTTACAGATAAAGAAACTAAGGCTCCTTGCGGTAAACAGCTTGTTCAAAGTGACACCATTCAGCCCAGATCTGCCTGGCTCTGAAATCTCAACTACCACACTGATGTCACCTTAGATGCTCTGGAAAGCACACATGAATAATGGCAGAAGAAATGTCACCAAAATAGTTGAGATGATACACCGCTAAAGAAATACCACACACGGAGTAAGAGCAACAAAGCTGCTTTTGAAAAACGACAGCCAGAGTTAGTCATGTTTCACAAAGGGAGTTCGCATTTGCATTTGTAGCTGTGTCTCCTGGCGAGTCCTGTGTCACTGAACCTGAACGTTTGCGTTTTCAGCGCGGGTGACAGTCACCGGGGCTCGCGCCACGCTAGGCAAGTTCTCTACTCACTGAGCGGTACCTCCAGCCCTGAACGTGCTACTTTAAACTTTACAAAAATTTCACACACATACACATACAGAGAATTTAATAACGTCTGCTTTTCCCGCTCGACCGATTTGAGCGCTTCTTCCCCCAGCTCCTACCAAAGCGGCGGGCACAGGGGACGCGTTCGGTCACACGCGTTTCGCTGGCGAGAGTCACTACGGCACTGGGACATCCACACGCGTGTCCTCACGTGTACCTCGAAGCGGGCACTTCTAAGTGAGCGGTACGTTCTAGAAACGTCCAATTCTACGAGTGAGGCGCTGGGCCAAAAACGTACCACCCCTCCAAAAAAACTGCGCTCCGTGGGGCTGGCTCCACCGCTCGCCCGCGAGGCCCGCGGCGACGCAGGGTCCCGCCGGGCGGCGAGGGCCGGGATCCGCCTCACCCGCGCCGCTCCGGCTGGGCCCGAGAAGCCACGCAGGGCTTGGCCGACGCCGCCGGCTGCGGACAGGCTGTAGGCGCCTTTACCTGGTCAGTTCTAGTAGCCAGGGACTTGTCGGCCAGGATGCTCTCCTTCAACTCTTCCAGCTTCCCATTGTAGGCCAGGTTGCAGACCATTAGGTTAGACACACACCCCTCCATTTCGCTTTCTCAAGAGCGCGATAAGACGCAGGCAAAGCCCGCCTCGCGGCCCCAGCGGCCAATCAAAAGAGGCTTAAGATCCACCAATCAGAGACCTTTTTCGTTCCGGTGTTTCTTTTCCCATAGCGCAGAGCTTCTGGGAGTTGCAGTTTGAGGGCCGTTCTAGGCTGGGAGGCGCCTTTCTTGTCCTCATGGACTTGGCCCCTAACAGCGCAGGACTACAAGCCCCAGGGTCACTTGCGACCTCCGTAGTCAAGTTGCCGGTGGAACTGGCCCACGATGACAGCTGGAGAATGGAGTCAGGTACGGAGAGCGGCTTCGTGTGAAACTGTGTGGAAGAGCTGGGGTGGGTGGTCTCTGTTGGTGCGCGCAGGGGAACACTTGAAACGGTGCAGGGGCGAGGCTAGAGAATTCCTGGAGCCTAAAGGTTCCGTTTCCCCGGGGCCCGGGACCTGTAGTGGCAGGCGGAAGGGACAACAGTTGGAACTGAGCTCGAACCGGTGACTGTAGCTACCCTCCCCCTTCCTGCCACCACCCAGGGAGTGGAAAAAAAGTAGGATTAAAAAAATCTCGCTGGAGTGGCATCAGGCCAGGGTTCTGCCACAGCAGTGATAGCATAGGACACCACAGTAAGGTGCTGTGCCAGGGTGATGTCAAAGGCAGGGTGTGATGCCGTGGGAGCCACTTGATACCTAAGAGATCTCAGGGAGTCCTTAGCTTGGTGACATTACCACTTCAGAAGGGTCATCCTCAGGATACGTGGTATGGGGTTGACACTTTAATATACAATAATGATGACAGCGAGGCTTTGCTAGAACTATTAAGCCGGTGGTGTTTCTTTTCATGGAAATCCCAAATAATGTCATAGCGAAAGAGATGCAAGGCTTTTCCTTCACAGGGCATATCCAGGATGGCATTTTGCCAAAACTAGGTAATGATAAAGAATACACTCAAGAAAGAAACTGGTTATGTTTATGTTTATCATATTGTGTTGTGGAACAAGGCTTGGCCAAGTTTCTGTAAAAAGCCAGGTAGTAAATATTTAAGGCTTCGCGGCCAACAGGTAAAACTGAGGCTATTTTGTAATTACTTTTATGACAAGAGAGAAAACAAATTCTCACAAACGTTTACTGATGAAATTCAAAATATAATAACAGTTTTACTATTAATAACATAAGAATGTAATTTTTGAAACACAGGAATACTGAGAATAGAAATTTTTGAAGCAATAACAATTTGCTTAGTTGGGGGCCAAAGTTAGTGTGCCCTATTACCAAAATTGACCGCAAATATTCATCTGTTATTGCTGATCTATAATGACATTTTCCATATATCATCTTTGAAAATGTCTTTTCATACAAACAGGTGTGCCAAACACTGATGTCAATCCATGAACATATATTTTTAAATTTTTATTTAAATACATTTCTTAAAGTTTCAGAGTAGTTTTAACTGTATAGGAAAGCTGCTAGTACAGTACAGTTCCCATATATTCTTCATCCAATTTCCTGTTTTTCCATTTTAATGACTTTACCGATATGCTTTACATATCACAATATTCACCTCTTTCAAAACTATATAGTTAAATGATTTTACTAAGTTCGTGGAGTGATGCAGCTATCACCAAAAGTCAGTTTCAAAATTCTTTCATCTTCCCAATAAGATCTCATGTCCAGGGCTGGGGATTTAGCTCAGCGGCAAAGCGCCTGCCTGGCAAGTGCAAGGTCGTGAGTTCGGTTCCCGCTACCGGACAAAAATCAAAAACAAACAAACAAAAAAAAAAACAAAAAAAAAAAAAAAAAAAGATCTCATGTCCACTTGCAGTTAATATCCATTCCCACTCCCAGCCTAGGCAACCACTAATATCTTTTGTCTCTATAAACCTGCCTACTTTGGACATTTTTTATAAATGAAATTATATAATATGTGATGTTTTGTGTCTGGCGTCTTTGATTTAGCGTGGTATTTTAAAGGTTCAACTATATTATCTAACAAGTATAAATGCTTTCTTACTTTTTACTGCCAAATAGTATTTTACTTTGTGGAGGTAACATATTTTTGTCTGTCTAGTTAGCAGTTGATGGACGTTTTGATTGTTTCCAATTGTTGGTTATTATGACTAATTCTGTTAAGAACATTCTCATGCAAGTCTTTGTGTGGGGGTATAGGTTTTCATTTCTCTTTGGTACATACCTAAATGTAGAATTACTGGGTCATAGGGAAGTTTTGTGTTTAACTTTTTGAGAAACTATAAAACTGTTTTCTAACATAGAAGAACCAATTTGCATTTCTACCACCAATATATGAAAGTTCTTGTTGCTCCACGTCCTCAGCAAAATTTGTGTCTGTTTCTTATTATAGTCATTCTAAGTGGATGTAAAATGATAGCTCACTGTGGTTTAAACTTTTATTTCCTTAATGACTGATGTGCTTGTGAATCATTTGTGTATCTTCTACAGTGAGTTATCTGTTTATCTTTTATCTATTTTAAATTCTGTTTTTAAGTGAGTTGTAAGAATTATTTATATATTTTAGATGCAAGTTCCTCTTAGCGGGCTGCTTGTCGTTCTCCTCTTTCTTTTTTTTTTGTTCTTTTTGAGACAGAGTCTTCCTATGCAGTTCAGGTTGGCCTTGAGCTTACTTTGTAGCCCAGGCTGATCTCGAACTCACAAGGATCCTCCTGCCTCAGCCTTCCGAGTGGTGGGATTACAGGCCTGCGCCACCACAACCACCTTGTCTTCTCTTCTTTATGGTGTCTGTTTTTTGGCATGGTATTAGGGATTGAACCTAGGACCTTTGTACTGAGATACATCCTCAATCATTTTAAAAGTTTTATTTTATTTTATTTTATTTATTTTTATTTTTGAGACAAGGTCTCATGAAGTTGCCCAGGCTAGGCTTGAAGTTGTGTTCCTCCTGCCTAAGTCTCCCAGAGTGCTGAGATTACAGGTGTGTACCACCGCAGTCACTTTTAATGTTGTCTTTTGAAGTGAAAAAGTTTTGAATTTTGGTGATGTCTCGTTCATCATTTTTTCTTTTATGGAGCATGCATTTAGTGTTATACCTAGGATGTCTACCTAATCTCTCAACAGTTATTTTTATTTCTTCTAGAAGTTTTATTGTTCTACCTCTTACATTTAAGTCTATCACTCTTTTTTATTTTAAAAAAATAGAAGAAGGAAAACATATTAAGAAACAGACATCCATTTACAAAATAGCATAAGAACAATACAAACAAAACAGAGTTACGGACAAAGTTGTAGGAAATTAACCATGGTTGTTGTATTACTTATTGATATCTTCAAAGTGGTTTCTCAGGAAAACAAATAGAGACATACAAGATTGATCAAACAACTAATAATTAACTATTCCTTTCTGTAGAGCAATAGAAGACAGTAGTACAACTATGTTAGCTATCCTGTATATACATATTTACATAATTTCCCCTTCTTTCCCTTTTCTTTTCGCACACCCCAGTTGCCCTTTACTTTTGAGCATTTTCCTTTCGTTTCACAATGTCTATCATGCCTCCTAGTTTTTATTCACTCTTTCAGGTCTTACACTAGTGAGACAATACGATGCTTACACATGCAGGTCTAATTTATTTCATTTTTGAGTATGGTCTCTAGTTGTGACCATTTACTTATGAAAGCCTTGAGTTTATCTTTCTTTATAGCTGAGTAATATTCCATTATCTAAAAGTACCACAATTTGTTTATCCAGTCCTTGGTGGATGGACATTTGGGTTGCTTCCACAGTTTAGAAATTACAAATTGCACTGCTATGAACATGGGTGCACATATATTGCTATGATATGATGTTTTCAGATCATCTGGGAAAATACCCAGAAGGGGAATAGCTGAGTTGAATGGGACCTCTAGACCTAGTTTACTGAGGAATCTCCAAACTGATTTCCACAGTGGTTTCACCAGTCTGCATTCCCACCAGCAGTGGAGAAGGGTTCCTATTTCTCCACAGCCTTGCCAGCATTTGTTATTGGTTGATTTCTTAATGGTAGCCATTCTTACTGGGATGAGATGAAATCTCAATGTTGTTTTAATTTGCATTTCTCACATGACTAATGATGTTGACCATTTTCTCATGTATTTATTTGCCATTTGTATTTCTTTATCTGAGAAATGTGTATTCATCTCAGCTGCCCATTTTTGGATTGGGTCTTTGAATTTGGGGGGTGCTGATGTTTTTTAATTGTTTATATGTTCTAGACAGAAGCCCTTTGTCTGAGGGACAGTCAGCTAAAATTTTTTCCCAATTTGTGGATTTCCTTTTTACTGTGCTGGTGATTTCTTTAGATGATCAGAAACTTTTCAGTATGATGAGATCCCTGTTGTTGAATCTTTGAAATATTTCACGTGCTGTTTGGTTTTTGTTCATGAACTCTCTGCCTACCCCTATGTCTTCAAGGTTTTTACCTACTTTTTCTTCCAATAGATTTAGTGTTTCTGGTTTAATATTGAGATCTGTGATTCATTTTGGCTTGAGTTTGGTGCATGCGGATAGGCTTGGGTCTATTTTCAGGCTTTGGCAGGTGGCAAGCCAATTTTTCCAGCAGCATTTATTAAAGAAGCTTTCGTTCTTTCAGTGAGTTTGTTTGGCCCCTTTATCAAAGATTAGGTTGCTAAGTGTGTTTGTGTTTGTGGCTGTGTCCGCCATTCTGTTCCACTGATCTTCCGGTCTGTTTTTTAGCCAGTACCATGTTGATTTTATTACAGTGGCTTTGTAGTATAATTTCAGGTCAAGGATTGTAATTCCACCTGACTTGTCCTTGTTGCCCTGGATTGCTTTTGCTATTCTGGGTCTCTTCTGGTTCAAGATGAATTTAAGGAGTGTTTTATCACTCACTTTGAGTTAATTTTTCTATATGGTGTGAGGTGAGGGTCTAAGTGCATCTTTTTTCATGTGGATATTCATATTGTCCCAGTACCATTTGCTGAATCTCCTATCAGTACCATCTTACATTGCTCTCCTATATTTGTCACAGCAGAAAATCCCACATCAGCATGCCACTATTGACTATATTTCATATAT